ATATGAGTGACTACTACATGAAATGCTTAAATGACCTTGCAAATTGTTTAAACATGCTTAGGATATCATTAGGAACAACTTTGGTATTTAGTGCTAAGGCTAGTTTGGTCATTTAGCCATGGTTTGTGTATGTATCATGATTTCAAAGTGACATGTTTGACTAAAGTTGAACTAGGTGTTAGGGACCTTGCATGGAGGAGCTCACTAAAGCAAAGTTGTAGTGTTTGACATAAGGAACAACTTTTATTTTTGGGTCATTGACTGATTTAGCTTCTAACATGCTCGAATTGGGGTCACAAAGGTCGACAAATAACTGTTGTCAACACTTAACGAATTTTTCTAAGTGTGAGATCCCTAACAGCCTGACAAGCCAACTTTGATCATGATTTTACTCAGTTTACGTTGAGAATTGGAACACAATCTTTGAACAATAGTTGTAGCTGGTACATAGGTCTATCGTTTCGATGTAGAGAGTTTGCACGTTGGAGCCACGGATTAGCGGTTAAATGACCGAGAAACACATCGTCAGCATGAGCGATCGCGTCTGAAAGTTAATCGAATCGGCCAGCTTCGGGTGGCCGACCGGCCAGAGCTTGTCAAGGGCTGCAGGTAGTGGCTGGCGACGGTCACGGTCATGTCGCCCCCTGCCTCGCCAGGGCAGAGCCAGAGCCAAATCGCCGCTTTAACCTTCCCGCCGCCACTTTTCACCACAAGACCCCATTTGCTTCGCCTCGGTTTTCTTCTTCCCGCAAGCGCAGCCGCCGAGCTCCGCAGCTCCGCTGTCGCCATAGCCAGCGCAGCAGGCTCGCGCCTAGCCACTCCAAAGACCGCCATAGCTCCACCGTCTCCCCATCAACCCACCGCCTCCTCCCGCGTTCCGGCCGATAAAGCTTGGTAAGCCACCATGAGCGCAACACCTCGCCGGAGTTCCGCCGCTAGCCCCGTTACCGTGGCCACGTCGCCTCCGTCCACCATTGGCCGTGATAGCTTGTGGTATAGGATCGCCGTGGTCTAGAGATACTCGTCCAAGTCTTAGTTGGAGCTGCCGTAGCTTTCACCGACGTCTCGCCGTCGTCCCGCCTCGCCGCTCCGCCATTGCCGCCGCCGTCGTCCTTACCGTCGACAATAGGGCCGGCCAAGTGGCTCAATAGATGCGCTAGGTCACGTAGATCACGTCGTGATGACCTCACCGCCGGCAACCTCGCCGTCGGCGAGCTCCGCCGTTCCCACGTCATTCCCGCGCCGTTGCTCTGTTCCGTCTCAGTGACATGTGGGCCCAACTGGCTGAAGGGTCCCGCCTGTCAGTGTCGGTTAAATAGAAAGCTAGCTCATTTTTACAGATTTGAACCCTGATTTCATGTATCTTGTTATTTTTGTATCTTGAGTTTGATAGCTCCAAAAATTGTGACATAAATTTGTGAGTGTTCCTTAGGAAATGTAGTATTTAGGAAAAATATGTTCTTAGCTTCAACAGTAGAAATTTATGGAAATTTAAATCAGGATTTGAAATGTGCTTTTGAATGTATTTAAATTTGTTTATTTTATATCTAGAGTTCCTGTGCTCCAAAAATTATGAAATTTTTGTGGTAGGCTATTCTTGTTATATATGAGCTTGGATAAAAATTTGAAGACCAGTGCATGTGTAGATCTATAGTTATATATTTTTCTTTTATAAATAGTTGATCCTTGCATGAATTTTTATAAATTAAGTATGAGTCCAAAATTCATGAAATTTGTTGGAGGTAATCCTAGTACCATATGGATGCTAAGAAAATATGAAATCTGTTGCTTGACACTTTTCAATAGGATTTTCCATTTATGCTATTTCAAGCCTTGCTGCCTTGTCATTTTGTATAGAATGTTCTACTTGGTAAAATGACATGAGATTTTTACAGTAGTCTTTTGATAGCATTAGTAAGGCTCTGTAAATTTTTGAGAATTTATTAAGCACATCTGATATATATTTATTATTTAACCTAGATATCTAAATAAAATAATAAAGGCAATTTAATAAATAGTTTGGGCTTCACCATTATATCATCTTAACTGTATTTGGTATGCTTAAACTATTGGTAGGTTCTAGGTTGTCAAATTTTGAATGATTACCTGAAGTAGAAGTATTCTTACTTTATATTGCATGTTAAATCATTTCCGGACTGATTCTAGAGTGTGATGAGTTGTATGTTGAAACTGAGGTGTACTATAAAAATGGTTAATAGCAAAGTTGTAGAGAATTTGATAAGCTTTCCAGAAAGTCCAGGATCACTGGATTTGGATTTGTAGAACTCCAGTTATGAGTGAAACAAGTAGCTACTGCTTTGTGGCATAGTCGATGCATTGTAGAAGTAGTTAAGTAATAATCGAGAAGAGATATGCACCTACTCAAACAACGTGATGCACTTGTTAACATGTATGCATTCGTAATACTTATACCATACTCATGCATCTAGGATCGGAGGAAGAGATCACGTTGCTGGAATTCGAAGAAACAGAGGAAGGGAATCAGCAGGAGGATCCATAAGCCACGACTCCCGGGCGTGGAGCGAGAACCACGAAGAGCTTCCGGAGTGCCCCGACCATCGCCTCTACTTCCTTTCTCGGCGAGGCAAGCCCCTGAGCATTATAAGTCTCCCAAAGAATTTATAAATGTTTATTTAAGTACTTATGATTGCTGCATTAGGTTATAAGAGTTGAATGAAACCACTTGATGCATGTACATTCCTTGTCCGATATTACACCTTTAACCGGTATAGGTCGTGGATCGAATATATGCTTAGCCATGCTTAGACCGTAGAAGTCGGGTGATTTCGTCACCGCGAGATATAGGTGGATACCGAGCACGGTTGGTTATAATTGCTATCGTGGAAAAGAACCATGGTTAATGTAAATGGAGACCGGGCGGGATGTCGATAGAGAAGCAACAAGACATGGAGGTCTTGGGTGTGAATCTATCCCCGTCAGGTCGATCAAGGACCGTACCGTTGTTGGAACTTCGACAAGATTGAACGATGCCTCTCACTTAGCTGGCCGGATAATTGTTCCGACCGCTGAAGCCGAGTAATTCAACTCGTGCCGGAATCGTTTCATTGCGCCTTCCGGGAACGACGACCGAGCCCAAGGGCGTGCTTGGCTCGAGCATCCCGGCATCTGGTGTTCCAGACAGCGGCGCAAAGACGGACCCGCGAAATGTGTGTACCGGAGTTGTACCAAAGGTGACCTAAGGCTATCGTGGTGGTAGACTGGGTTTGTGTTAGGAATAAATTCCCACCTGGTTGAAATCGATTCAATCTGCCTCTCTCCGGATAGTGAGAAACTTGGCTAGCTCCAACATCGTAGTAATCGTATTATGGAACCCGATGGTTCGGATGAAAATGGAATTTCAATACCTGCTATGGTTACTATTGTATGCTTCTAAATGATACCACATGTTTGGCACATGATAGTTGCTAATCTAGAAATGGATAGTTATAATTAACTTGGTAAAGGAATCATAATTGTACAACGGATCGGTTGCCTTTTTTCGCAAAATGTTGTCAAGTTACGTCCACTTATACAAATTTCTTGCATACTCCTTGGAGTCATTTTATTTCTGGTTCATGACGGGTAAGTCTAGTGAGTACCTTCTCGTACTCGTGGTTTATTTTCCCATTGTTGCGAGATGGCACTCGTATCATGGTTATTGCAAGAGTTGCTTCTATCCCGCTGTGGATGAGGAGTAAGCCTTGGGCAGCTTCTTTAGTAATTCCTATCCTTGCTTTTGTGGACCGTGATCTAGCTTGGCACCGTATCAAACTATGTTAGAAACTTTATCTTCGAACTTATTTGCTTCCGCTTTATTTATCAAACTCGGTTTGTAATAACTTTTATTCAGACTCGATGATGAAAAGTATCTGTGAACTTTATGTAATATGTGGCATGTATGTTGAATCTCGTATACGATCTTGGTTGTTGTAAATCGTTTATCGAGACCCGCTGTGGTACTCGACGGACTACCGGTTTATATGGGTTCAAGTATGATGAAAGTCTGCGACCGCCATGGATTGCCATTGTACTTGTATTCTTATAAATTGGTCGGTTCTCTGCGACACCGCATCGAAAAGCAAGATTCAACGTTAATTGTCACAAGTGTATTTAAAACAAAAGTTTTTGTTTCCGAAAACCCTTCTCTAGCAACTAATAGTTATATAATAGGTATTTGAAATCTAAAGTGTGCCAATGATCACTTTCCTTATGCCCAAATTAAGGACTATTAGGTGGCTATTCAAACGCCTCCGCTGTGCACCCCGCCTTCGCCCTCATCGTTGGTCCGCGCCGAGCAAGAGGACTATTACGGAAACAGCCCGGACCAACGATGAGGGCGAAGGCGGGATGCACAGCGGAGGCGTTTGAGGGGGCAGCACGCGGGTGCTTCGCGAGGAGGCCCTCATCGCGCGAGGGCGCAGGGACAGCGGCCGGCGCGACCCCTGGCGCCGGCCGAGGAGGGGTGGGTTGGAATCATGAAGCTTGATGATGTGAGACCCGCGTTGGACGGCCATCGGAGGCGACTAGCGTGGCCGCGGTGGGGACTGTGTGGATTCGTTGCTCGCCCGACATGGTGCTGGTGGTGGTGGATGGTGGTAAGTCCACCTCCATTCTTATGCAAGGTGATTCTATAATCATAGCCAAGACCAACCAAACAGCCTAAGGTTGTATTGCTGGAGCCTGTCTTAGGCTACCCTGGCTTAAAATGTAAGTCAGGCTAGTTTTAGGAAGACAACCAAACAGACCCATAGACAGAGACACCCTGCCAAGAATTGAAGGGAGAGGAATCTAAACCCTACAAAAATCCAAAGCGCACAAACTGGGCGAGCGCCATAAGCCCATGCCAATGACATCCGCAGATCCGCTAACTGCTGCTGTTGGCACATCCCCGTCAAGCAGCCGCGTGAAGCTCCAAAGCAAATTAAAGCACTCGATCGGCTCTGATCATCGCGTTCCGTCCCTTTGCCATGCTAATGCGATCAGCCGGCCAGGTCGTGGAGGAGCTGGAACCCGGTGGCGGCGTTGAGGCCCCGGTGGTAGTGCGAGGAGGCCACGCCGTCGCCTTGCATGCCGCCGGAGAACTGACCGTGGTGACCGTGTCCGTGGGACGGGTGCACGGCGCCACCCGCGACCATCTGCTGCTCGGCGCCGCCGCCTGCCATGAACAGGAACTCGTGCGCCGCAGACGGAGCGGCGCCGGCGAACGCGATGTTCACGCCGCCGTGCGGGTCGGCGTCGGCGTGCTGCTGCAGCCCGAGCGTGAGCGACACGCCGCCGGAACCACTGGCACCGAACCCACCAGCTGGCCCGCCGGCCGCGGCGGGGTCGTCGTTGTATGCGTCGAAGTCGAGGTGGTCCATCATGCCAAAATTGATGCTGCTGATCTGCTGCTGGTCCCTGCTGCTGCTTCCGATGCTGACGACTGAGGCTAGCAACCCGGCGTCGTGGACCAGCAGCTGCGCCCGCGTCGGCTTCCGCTCGCCGCCGCCGTCCACGCCACTGGCGCCCCCGTGCCCCAGCTCGGAGGCGTAGCTGCTAGTGTTCACGCTGTTGTTTGCGTTGCTGCAGGCGCCGCCGCCCTCCTGCGGGTCCTTCATCTCCTCCGAGTACATCTCCTCCACCATCGGCTTCCACAGCCTGACCCTCGCGTTGATGAACCAGTTGGAGACCTGCATGCCAGTGCACGCACCGCGCACGCGGTGGGCGCGCAAGAGAAAGCGGTTGATTAGACTCTTTCCTTCCTCTCGCACGACTCCAACGTGGTACCCGATCGATGGGGCACCCACAGCGCCGGCCGGCCGATGCGTGTGCCATCAGTTTTGGTTTAGTGGGACATTATTAGAACACGGACAGCATTGCAAATGCAGGTGAGCTTAGCGATGCAAATAAGGCAAAATGATTGTGGTGTGTCACTGCTGCCGAGCGGCATCTAGTTGTTGGATAGGAACTGGTTAGCATTAATCTGCTGTACGGACTTTGTTGGAGAGTTGATGATCGATCAGCTGATGCATGACAAACAGGGCATTTACATATTTACCACTATTACGGATGACATCTTACACTGTGTCACTGACATATGAGCCATTAACATGATATTTTTTATGCTACTCACATCGTAATGATGGTAAATATGTAAATATTCCATGACAAAACAAGGTATAGAAGAAGCAAGCGTACGTACTTGGCTGCGTGATAGGCCCGTCTGGCGCGCCAGGATGTGCTTATCCACGTCGCTTGGATACCTGGATCAGAGGATACACCAGCTGTATTAGTTTGTCTTCCATCTCGATCATATAGGATATATAGGATGATATGTGCTAGAGATATTGATGTATTTGCTAAAAAAACATATTAATGTAAACTGTCCATGGACATATGCTACATGGAATATTCGTACAAGACAAGTGTGGTATATATTTGATGCAGACATTGTAACAGTAATGGAGGAGAAGAACAATAATATTGTATTGATTGTCAACTGGAGTGGTCGCTATATACTTAACAAGCCAGTTCTTGATCAATGATGAGGGATAACCTAAGCACATTACATTATTGTATTCACAAATAAATGGAGTACCGCGCGTCCCAATACGATTTATCCATGAATGGAGATTAGGGCTGCTCCTAATTAAAGCACCACAACCATGTAATGTGGTATCCTATTTAATTTGTTTCATTGTGGGGATGCTAATATAGTAAGATTATAGTATTGCAACTAAGCAAGTAGCATATATATGTGGGCTGGGGCTAACTAAATAGGAGTATATAAGCACAAAGTACAACATCTTGAACTGTTCTTGACACATGATATTACCTTTTGTGTTGAAGTATAGCAACAGATCACTAATAAGGTATTCCATCCATTCTCAAATACTCCCCCCCATCCCGGAATGAGAAGCATATTTTATATAGGGAAAGGTTAAATTTTACAAACTTCAACCACCAATTATTCAAATTATACACGAGTAGAACATAATACTTGCATTGATAGATTTTTTTTTTCAAATTAAAGTGCCTATGAGATGATATTGAATTACAACATATTGTAAAATAAATTAAGGGTCAAAATCTATTTTATTTAACTTTTGACTCATCAAAATGCACTTATCATTTTTGGATGGAGGGATAAGTAGCACCAATCCTATGCACAAAAGCGTGCAAATTAAGTAATTAACTGAGCGAAATGGAATTAGCAAGAGTTGGAACGATCATATTACGGGTGCAAGAAGTGCTCGAACAGCCAGGCCCGGAGGATGGAGACGGCGCGCTCCGGCAGCCCGCGCTGCGGCCTCCACGGCTGGCTCTCGAGCACGCCGGCCTGGTACGCCCTGTGCTGCCTCAGGCACTGGTCGATGACCCGCAGCTTGGGCGTGGTCTCCCCCTTGGCCATCCCGGCCTCCGGAACGCTGTCCGCGCCCTTCTCGCCGAGCGCCCGGCGCACCGCCTGCATCTGCGCCGCCACCCCATCCCTCAGGCTCCGGAAGTGCTTGGATATCGTCCGCGACGCCAGCCTCGTGTACGCCGCCGCCGCCTGCTCCCCGGCCACCGCCTCGAAGGACCCCGCCACCGCCCTCATCTGCTCCCGGTACCTCCGGTACCTCCTCTCCACCTGCATCACCGTTAAAAGTTAGCAGTTAGCACCAACCAAATTGGACGCCATGCAAGTAATCAAGCTCTCGATCACAAACGGCAATGTAACAGTAGCTGCAAGCCTGCAACAGCTTCCCGGATTGATGACACTGTAGCTTCTGCTGGTACTCATGTACTTGATGACTTTGACTAGTGCAGTGATGCACCCTGCAACTCTGCAAAACGACCAGGGTGGCTGGCTGCACCTACCAATGAATCGCACTGTGCAACTGTGCAGCATATACAGGAACAGCAAGCAGGGGTAAATGTGAGAGGGGATGGGCTCATGGCCGTGGCCCAGCAAGCAGGGTGCTCAACAGCAAGACGATGGAGCACAGGAGATGGGCACCGACTGAAGCTAGGAGGAGAGAGAGGGAGAGTAGAGTAGTAGTGGAGCAGTGCTAGCTCTGCAGAGATCTGGGCTGCAGATGCATGGTGATGGCCGTGGCCCTGCTGATCTGCGGGAGCTACAGGTTACCCTGTACAGACGCGTTGCTACACCTGCAGGCCAAGGAATGGAGGTTTCCAAAAGCAAATGGCAAGGCCCCAGAGGCCAGGAGGTCTCTTCAGACAAGCCATAACTGAACTCCCACTTGCATGCAGCCTTTTAGATTTCCAAGGACAAGCAAGGGCTCCTGACGGGAGCTGATCCTGCTGCTGGACCTGTGGCCTGTGCCGTGTGTGATGGTAATTGTCACTTGATGAGGCGTGGAGAGTGATGAATGATCAGAGAGGAGGACCTCTTGGAGCATGGCGTAGAGCTTGGCCTTGAGCCTCTGCAGCTCGGATGCATTCATGGCCTGGATCTGCGCCGACGGGGCCGCCGAGGACGAGGAGCCGACGCCGTCCCCGCTCGCTGGCTTCGTGGGTAGCTTGGAAGCAGCAGCTGTGCCGGTGGAGTCCACGGGAAGGGTGCAGAACTCTTGCAGGAGCTGCTGCGTCGGGCGCAGGAACCTGGAGCCGCGCAGGTGCCACGCGCCCTGCTGCTGCTGTGGGCCTGGCCACGCCGCCGCAGGCTGGTGCTGCCGTGGCACGCCGCCGGCGAGCTGGTGGTGGTGGTGCAGCGCCAGCGACGCGGCGTCGTCGGCGGTCCCGTGGAGCGACAGCGACAGCGGCGCCTGGAGATGACCCTGCCGGTGGTGGTCGCCCAAGTCGTGCCCGCCGACGGGAGAAGCGACGTCGACGTCGCCGAGACCGAGCGCGGCCTTGCCGTGCGCCGCAGAGGCAGCGGGGCCCGCCATCATCGCGGCCGGCGGCATGTGGCCCCTGCTGGCCCCGAACATCTCCACCCCGTGCTGGTGGTGCACGCCGTAGAGGTGAAGACCCTCCTCCCCTGCCCCGCCGACGGCGTCCACCTCCGGCACGAGCGTCGCCGCCGCGAAGTAGTCCGCGTACGCTAGGCCAGCTGGCTCATCATGCGCCATGTTTATGTGTACTCCGATGGATGGCTTGCTTCACGTTACGCTAGACTGGAGACGAAAAGCTCAGCTCAGAATCGAAAGGCGGAGACGGTGTAAAGTACCAGTAAAGACAAAGGCGCCAAACGCAAGTAGCAGCGCCGACGAGGAAGGAGAAGGAAGCGAAGGAGACGCAGCGCAGGCAGCGTCGGCAGCGACGACGCACGCACCTTTGCGCCAGGGAGAGGGAGAGGGAGAGCGCAGGGCCACACATAGCTTTTCTACTGAGCTGAGGCGACGAGGATAGACAGCGCCAGTGCCAGCACTCACAATCGCAGATCGACATGACGACAGGCTAGCTGCGCCAGACCCAGACGATGAGACGAGAGAAAGAGCGCGGCCACCGGGCGGGTGCGGATGAGTGAAGCAGCGACCGATGAGCGAACCTGTGGTGTGGCTCGCTCGTCAGGTCGCTCGGGTAGCAAGCTAGCTGGCTGGTGCCTGGCGGTGGTTGCAGCGTCACTGTTTCCATCGTTAGTTCCGATCCGACAGATTCTCCCGCCTGCTGATGCTGCTCGCACTCCTGCTCCACCAAGCGTGTGCTTACTACTGTAGTATACGAGCAGTGTTTACAATACTTGGCGATGGCAGTTGGCAGGAGGATGGCCAGTGTATGATGACATGATGCCTCGAGATTATGCAGCGATCGACCAATGCATAGGCGTGTCCAGCCAGCAGCAGCACAGACGCAGAGAGGCGGGCCGATGAGCTGAGCCTGCAACTAGTTAGCAGCGAGCGCTGCGCTGGTACCCGCCCCGGTGGGGAAAGAAAAAGAAAAATCAGCCGAGCCGCCGACATCTTTTCATGGCTTCTACAGTCTACCACCTCAAATTTTCAGAATTCTACAATCCACTTGCTACCTTCTACTAGTTACCCATCGGACCTCACGTGTTATGAGAAAAGAGACTCAATTTTTCAGGAGTCTGTCTACCCAACAACCGGTTGTTTTAGCTCTTCTCAACAACTAGATTTTATCTATGGACTTTCAATGTCTTATAGCTATATTTACACCGTCTTATTATTATATTTATAATGATTTCTTTAACGTAATTTATTAGATACGATGATGTAATTTGAGGATAATTACATATCTCAGATAAATATATATCAAATTTATAAATTATTTTTATGGATTCCGGATACTAGAGAAATACATGTCAAATATGTCAAATGCTTCACAAATTAAAAAAAAACAAAACTGACGGTCTCCACAGCGCCGCCGCTCACCATCGCCGCGGCGTCCTCGGTCGTGCCCATCTCCTCCTTCCCGCCGTTGTCGCAGCCCGTGCCCCGTGGAGGCGGCCTCGCAGCACGTGGAGTTGGCGTAGGAGGCGGAGGAGATGAGAGAAAGAGAGAGAGAGAGCAGGCGGTGGTGCTCAGGTCGCAGGATGCGAAGGCCTCCGGCGTGACCTGCAGCACCGAGTCCTGGCTCGGCGGGTACAGGAATCCCTGCGAGCGCGAGCGAGTGAGTGAGGCGGCGGAGACGGCGGCGGCGGTGGATGGGGTTGGTTGCTTACAGATGGAGTCGCCGAGCGCGAAGTGGATGGACTTGGTCCAGCGCTTTCAGATGGCGTCGGTCCGTTGGGAGCCGTCGAGTCCACCTCCAAGGGCCCAGAATCCGGTTGTTTTGGAGGTTGATGGTTAGCAAATGAAAGAGCGTACCGTCCGCCTCTGTTGGTGTGTTTTTTTGTGCAACATCCATCCTCCAGTTCCACCTCCGATCTGTCACTATTGGTAGCTGTGATTCAATTTACAGTACTAGCTCATCTGCCTTTCTGGACTGCCCAATGCCCTTTTTCCACATGACACAGTGAAATGGTCCCGGCCATTACCTCACCGTACATTCTATTTCCTTCACATATGAGATAAAAAAAGGCCAATACGGCATAGGAAAAAGCCCATCTCACCTCCTCAACTATATATTGACCTTGTTCGATTTTTTTCCTCCTGAATTACAAAACCAGATATACTATACCCCAAATTGTCTAATACCGGACACATGGCGCCAAATCAGCCGTCATATGTGGCGCCATGTCAGCCCCGAAAGAGATGAATCGGATTGTGTCAATTCAAGGAAACCAAATAAACTTTACCAACTAAAAAAGAATCTGTCTAGCCAATAACTAGTTGTTTTAGCCCCTCCTAACAACCGGATTTTTCCCATGCACTCACACTGTCTTATAACTATATTTACATCGCCTTATTACTATATTTACAATGATTTTTCAGTGTAATTTATTGGATAGAGTGATGTAATTTGGGAATAACACAAATATATGCTAATTTTTTCAAACAAATTTATAAATTATTTCTATGGATTTCAGGCATCAGAGAAATATATGTCAAATCGTTCACAAATGTCATCAATTTGTCCACAGATACAAATGGAAGAACAGAGAGCAAAGAAGTACAGAGAACAGAGAGCAGAGCATCTCATCTTCCGAGCGGCACAACAAGGGAGAGGAAGCAGAGAGCAAAGAAGGAAGCCTGCGCTCGCGCCGGGGCGGCGGCTAAGGAAGCCTGGGGAGGCGGCCCAGGGGTGGCGGCCTGGAGGCCGCAGCAGAGGAAGCGAAGAAGGAGCTCGGAGTGGGGAGCTGTGCGACGGAGGAAGCGGGACGCACATGTGTCGGGCGGCAGATCGGACGAAATCCGGTTGCTAGAGGCCAAGAAAATAACCGGTTGAGATAGCAAATCTGAATAAAATTCTCCAGATGAAGTAAATATCGTTGCAGAAAAATCCCCAGAGGCCGGTAAACCGCACGCTCTTTGACAAACATCTGTGCGGTACCTACTAATTTGACTAACCGATGTTGAACGGACAGATAAGGTGCAGTTTCTGTGTTGTCTTATCCGATGTGATCGATTCTCAATGAGTCTAGAAATATGCGAATTTTCAGTGCAACATGACAGTTCAGTCTTGAGCTGAAAGGGAAGAATTTTCCAGTGAAAATATCAAAGCTGCCATAATAACTCATACTACATAATGAGAGCGGAAGTTTTGATCTTTTATGCGTACGTGTGCATATGGCCATATATATGTCCATGTTCTTGCAGCAGGGTATATAGCGAAGGCATGAGCTCAGTGCTATATACCCAACACGCGTCAGTGCACATGAATGCAAGGGTCCGGTGTACACACGACGACCCTGCCAAAAACCATTAGTGTAATAAAGTAATCAAGTGTATGATAATAATCGTCAATCGACGCACTTTGCAAGGAACCAAAATACCAACCAACTAAATTTGGCATTACACATCTAGGTGACTAGACCGTCACATAAATTAAGCTCCACTACGCCAAAAATGAACAAAGGATCGTAAGTCAGCCAGCGTCACAGATAAAGTAGTACAGACGGGTGACATAGATATCCGTCTCTAAAAATATTAGTCCACAGCCTCACAGCCACTGTACCCGTCTCTGATGACATAATATGCGAGACACATCTTACTATAAGCCGTCTCTAATATATCAAAGACACGTCCGTCTGTTCTGTGCAGACACGCCCCTCCCTCAGCTCCTCGTTAAGCAGCCGCAAGTGCAGATACAATGGGAACGCCAAGGGTGATGTGAATAATCCGATGAAAGAATCAGGTCCAGTATGAAAAAATAAATCTCCCATATATGATAGGACAGAGAATAGGAGTTCATGGAACGGAGGAATGAACAAGAAGATCTGGTGATAGCTATCACGAAAAAAATGCGAATCCAGATTTTGGTGAAAGTGACGCGCTACTAGGGTTTTCTTTATATATTGGTTAGGTTGCTCTCTTGATTCTTATGCTTTTTTATATTCAGAGTGATCAATAATCCGTTTGGACTCAACTGGAGGTGTTCTTACTGATGAGTTTTAATATGAAGTGGAGGAACTGAGGGAGGTTGGTATATGTTGACGAGGACTGATACGACAGACCTGTGATTTCATCCTGGCGTGTACATATATATATATATATTATTATGTGGAAACCTGTCGTAGTCTGCCAAGATTAAAAGTTCATGTTGCTTTGAGTCGTTTTCGTTGATGACTATGGCTTTTGCTAATGTTGGTAAAGTATCTGGAAGCAGAAACGCTAACTTGCTATATGGGCATCAGATGTTTCTTTCTCCCTTCTTTTCATTTGCTTTCAGCAGCCTATACTAGATTCATGACTGTCCCCCGACATGAATCGGAAAAGTTAAAAAAGGCGGCCACCAGAATAGCGACTGCGACTACATACGACGCATGCATGCAGTGGTTTTGTGCATTCTTGGAGGTTCATGCTGGGTGGAAAACACTGACGGACCAGAAAAAAGTTCTAGGTGGGGGTGAACTCTAGCAGCACGGTAGACCAAAAGCACAAAAAAAAAAACCGTAAACACCATAGCAATCATACAAATTATAGTAAAAATAATAAGTGCGCAATAATTTTAAGACAATACCTTAAATTTGAAGAATAGATATTGACCATATGCTACCACCAATATTGGCGGTGGCACCCGAGTGACACTCGGCCTTGCCTCACTTAAAGCCCTATGTTTGGTTTTTAAATTGAGACAACCAGGGACTAACCTGTTGCTAAGTGTTCATTAAGCTAGGTTAGGTCCACACCGAGGTGATGAGCAAGGTTTGTATATGGATGAATGGTGATCAATCCAATTGAAACAAGCTCACACTTCAAAAAGGAAGAAAGAGAAAAAGAAAATTCTATGGTGATCAAGGCAAAGGTATAAGTTAGGAATTTTATTTTGCCGGCCAAGACACAATAGAGTATGTGGTCGGATTTAGGATAGATAGTCGTACTATTAAGAGGGGAGTTGAGTGCGTCACTGAGTGCTCAACGTCATCCCTCCCTCCCGTGGCCATCATCTTTTTGGGTTCAAGCCATGTAGCACTCAAGTAGAGGCAAATTCTGTCATCATCCGTAAGGTACTCGGTCATGATGTCATCGTAGATGTCCGAGTCGGCGATAGCAGTGGAGCCCCATTGGAG